TACTGCTCAAACATCCCATATGGTTTTAGAGATGAACGCCCGAATGGACGATGCTGAAAACCGCTCGCGTAGAAACAGTTTAATATTTTACGGTGTTCCTGATCCCGTCCCACATGAGGCTTCTGTCCAGTCCGAAGAAAGGATAATTAGGTTATGCTCTGATCACCTTCACGAGACGCTTGAACGTATACAGATATAGAGCGAGCTCACCGTCTCGGCCATCACACAAACGGACGCTGTCGCCCATTAATCGTAAAACTAACTTTTTTTAAAATCTAGGAGGTCATTCTTTCGAACAGCCGTAAGTTAAAGGGCACCGTCTTTGGCATTAGCGAAGATTTCTCGCGCCCCGTTCAAAACGCCCGGAATCACTTAGTTGCATTTGCTAAAAAACATGGCAGTCCCATTCTCGCTACGCTACAAAACACTATTCATTGGCAAGCAACGTTATATATTTGACGAGTTGTCACAAACTGTAAAAGGAATTGCATAACAATCACCAATCTATCAACGACCAATAAACCGTCCTCAATCCACCCCTCGTGTAAATACTTCCTTATCTGTTATCTTTACCAACATACGGAGCTTCTTTTCAAAGCGGGATCTTGTATCTAATCTCGTGTCGTCATCCATCAGCAATATATTACTACTAACTGAAACATGGTTAACTGCCGACGTCACTGACGCTGAAGTCCTTGCTGACTTGCCAAATTTTCACATCTTTCGAAATGATCGGAAAGGCGCACGAGGTGGATGTGTACTCATCGCCGTTAGCCAACAGTTGCCTTGTTTTCTCATTACCATTCCCTCTGATATTGAAGCATTGTGGCTCATCTGTCAGCCTTCTCCGCAAACAGTTGTACTGGGTATCTGCTACAGGCCACCAAACTATAGTACCAAATTTTCCCGTAAACTAAACGACCTACTATATCAACTTTTCTGCAGAGTACCCAAATGCACGAATTCTTCTTTTTGGTGACTTTAATTCCCCAAATATTAATTGGATTGACCCATCACCCTTAACTGTAACCAACTCAGAAGAAAAAGATTTCATTGAGGTTTGTCTCAATTTTAATCTCACTCAGTTGGTAACAGAACCAACGCGCGTCGCTCGCGAATCTTCAAATATTTTAGATCTCATATTAACCAATCAACCTGACAGTCTATCATCCATAAACTACCTTCGAGAGATTAGTGACCACAAAGTTATTCAAGCTGTCTTTGGGCTTATCCCTGCAAAACGTCATACCGAAAAGAAAACAATTCGTTTGTACGATAAAGGAAATTATGAAACTATAAATAACGAGCTGAACACCTTTTTTCCAGTTTTTGAGGCAACATTTCACAAGCAGTCAATTCATGAAAATTGGTTGATATTTAAAAATAAGTTAAACGAACTAGCAAATAATTTCAACCCCTTGTTCAGTTTCCACGCAGATCAACATAAACCGTGGTTCACTAAAACCATCAAAAGATTAAAAAGTAGAAAAGAACGTCTTTTCCGCTCAGTCAAGCTGTCGACTGGCCCTAGTGCATCGGAAAAATACTACGCGGCTGAGGATGCATATTTAACCGCAATCCGAAACGCCAAGTGCTCTTTTTTCCACGTGGGCCTACCAAACATGTTGATTAAAAATGCCCGAAAATTCTGGCAAGTGATAAACCCTCAGCAAAAGCATACTGTTGCCATTATCAATGAATTGGGCGAACTTGGGAATGATGCTGACTGTGCAAACATTTTCAACACCGCGTTTTCATCGGTTTTCACTGCAGAATCTGATGTGTCATTTACAGTGCTCCCTGGAAACACCGAGTGTCCAATGTCTCCTGTCACTTTTTTTGCTGATGGTATTGCGTCAGTAATCGACAACATGAAACTGTCATCATCAGCCGGCTTAGAAAAAATTATTTCCGAATTTCTAAAAAATACTAAACACATCTCTGCAGCATATTTGTCCTTGTTATTCTCTCAGTCACTTTCTACACGTAACATACCGGAAGACTGGAAGGTGGGAAAGGTCGTTCCTGTCTACAAATCAGGTAATAAAGAATCCCCATTAAACTACCGCCCTATCTCTCTAATGAGCGTGCCTTGTAAAATCATGGAACACGTCATTTTCTCTCAAGTCATGCATGTTCTGGACTCGATCAACTTTTTCCATTCTTCGCAGCACGGCTTTCGTAAAGGATTTTCCTGCGAAACTCAGTTAGCCCTCTTCCTTCATGATCTGCACATTAACCTCGACTCTAACATACAAACTGACGGCATTTTTTTCATTTTTCAGAAGCATTTGACAAAGTACCTCATAAGCGCTTGCTACTAAAACTTGCTCAGTTGAACTTAGACCATAATATCTTACGGTGGATTAAAGAATTTCTTAACAACCGCTCCCAATCTGTCCTAGTTAATAACCAGTCTTCTAATCTCATCCCAGTCATATCGGGCGTCCTTCAAGAGTCTGTTCTTGGTTCGCTTTTATTTTTAATATATATTAATGATTTACCGCAACATTTATCCTGTAATATTCGCATGTTTGCAGTAATCTACCATTCCATCACTAACGTATCGGACCAATCTGCCCCCCAAAACGACCTTAACCACGTGCTGCAATGGTGCGACCGTTAGTTAATGTCACTTAACTCTAGTAACTGTAAAGTTATGTCCTTTCAACGCGGCCGCAATCCCCTTTTCTTTCCCTATGCCATCACTACCACCCCCGTAGAATTAACCGAATTATATAAATACCTTGGTGTCACCCTTTGAAGCGATTTATCTTGGCGTACGCATATTACTAACATTACCTCATCTGCTAACAAAACCCTGGGATTCCTGAAACGTCAACTACGCCACGCCCCTCAGGAAGTAAGACTACTCGCCTACAAATCACTAATAAGATCAAAGCTGGAATATACATTTTCCGTCTGGGACCCTCACCAAGCATACCTCATCAACGCACTCGAACCAGTCCAAAATCGCGCTACTAGATTCATTCATTCTTCATACTCGTACAATACCAGCGTATCACCCCTGAAATCTGAATCAGGTTTACTTAGTCTCGCTTGTCGTCGCCGCATCGCCACCCTCTCTTTGTTTCACAAGTTATTTAATTCACGCCTCTGCATCTCACCTTACATCGTATCTCCCACACGCATATCTCACCGCAACAGTCATCCTCTCCAGGTGGCTCGCCCACGCGCTCGCACTGTCACTTTTTCCGCGTCATTCTTCCCCCGAGCAGCTCCAGACTGGAACGGCCTTTCTCACCACATTTGTTCCATCACCTGCCCATCAATCTTCTTCGAAAATGTTACCAATCATCTCTCATCCTGAAGACAAGCACCTATGTTTGATTATTTTTGTAACCCCACCCCTGATGTAATACCCCCTAAAAGGAGTTTTTTAAGGTAATAAAATGAAATGAAATGAAATGAAGACCTGCAATGGCGGTGCATCGAAGTACCGTTCTCGAAGTTCGCAGCATATCGAGTCTTCATCTCCCGGGAGTTCTCTGAGGAGTCTGATCAGCGCCTTGTTGTGTTCCAGCTTAGACTCGTCTGGGTTCAACAGGTGCCGAAACAGCAACCATGGACTGCGGGTGTGAAGTTGGCCCTTGAGTTCATCGCAGATCTGTGTCCACTGTTGTTCTGTCAAGTGCGCCGCGTGTTGTTCTATATCTCGGAACAAGAGGGCTAGGCACCGCCCCAGCTTCCTGTTGCTCTTGCCGGTCGTCTTCCATTTTCTGTGGAGGGATACGTACACTTCCAACATGTGGGTAAGCTTCGTGTCGACGCTCTTGGCCTGGGTGGGATTGGTGACCTCGCGCGTGACGGCACTTTGGTCCTCGTTGAGGTGTTCTGTCCACTCTAGCGAGTCGATAAGGACCCTGTCCCTCCTTCGGTCGCGGAACTTGTCCCGGTTTGTCAGGAGGCAGATGGTGACTCCTCTCGGTGGTGCTATGCAGGTGTCTACTCGGACTTTCAGTATGTAATGGTCGCTTCCCGCAGTTTCGTGGGGGCTGCTCCACGTCGCCCATGAGACGTTGGCAGCGTACGTTAAGTCTGGGCTGGTATCCCTGATGATGCTGTTGCCGCACCTCGTGGGGTGGGTCAGGTCATTCAGTAGCGCCATCGAACATCGGGATGCCTGTCTTTCTATAGCTTTGCCCTTGTCTGTGTCGTGCTTGTTGCCCCATCCAATACAGGGAGCATTAAAGTCTGCCAGCACTACCACGGGGCCGCCGGCCGCGATACTCGATGCTGTGTTGAAGACCTCTGCTACGCTGGTTCCGTGCCGTGCTCTTTAGGGGAGGAGTACGTGTTACAGATGACCGTGCTCAGTTGTTTCTTCTTTTAGAAAAGAGTTCAACCATTACAAGTCTATTACGAACCTGTAGCGTGACATCGCCCTGCTTGACTAAAATGTCCCGTCTGACGAACGTGTGGACGGGTCTCTTGATATTCCCGTTGCTCCGCTCGCAGCAAGCGTAGTCCGGTATGTTACAATTCTCACTGGATTCCTGTATGGCTATGACTTCTGGTGGGGCTTCAGAGGAAAAGAGGTGCATCCGCAGGGCGTTGATCTTGGTTCCCTGTCTTCCCCTGTTCCACTGCCAAATGAACAGCTTGCGCGGCGCGTTGTTACTGTCCATGCTGAAATATCTAGGGTGCTGTAACTGGTACCGACCAGGGTGTCGAACCGGAACCGAACCGAAGCAAAAACTGGAACTGAATCATTATTTTTAGCCGAACCGGAACTGAACCGAACCGAAATCTTTGCCGCCATCTTGGAACTGAACCGGAACCGAACAGAAAAAAAATATAACGATAACCGGTTCAAAACGGTTCAAGGTATTTTTTCTTCTTTTTTGTTAGTATTACAAAATGAACATGTGGAATAAAAAATTGGCAGCTGTATTTCTATTTATTAATCAAATCGTCATATACAGAATTGCAATGTATGTTAAATTGGGGGGTTTAATGACACTTTTTGTATAGGCACAATGATTAACCATGTGTCACGTTGTCACGTGATGTCGTGGTGTCAGTACATGCTGTCAAGTAGTGTCACGTGACCCCGTGACGTCACGTGAATCACAGCGTCAAGTCGACTTAATTTGAAAAAAAGTCACTGGATGTATTAACCTTGTTGACAGCGTGACGTAACATGACATCACGATTTCGCACCGAGAGTCACGTGATACCGTGACGTAAGCGATTTTCATAACCCCAAGTCCAGTGCTCGGGTTCCTGACAATCAGCATCGCCAAACATTCGGGTAGCGGCTCATGTTCAATTATATATGATAATATCCCAACTCTAACAATATCTGAAGCTCAGCCCAAGCTTTCGGTTGCAAAACCCTAGTGCATGACTGTGATGAACACTAACGCTATATAATTAGCGTCAGATCACGTGTCCGGTTGTTCAAATTGCGACTTCAGGAGGGGATCGACAGCTCTCTCTTTCCTTTTGTTTTTTCTGCATCTGCTATTCCGCGGAAGGGAAAAGTAATGGATGTTTTCGCAAGCTATCAATATCAGGGGTTACTTCTTAACAGTATTTACTGAAAATACAAAAAATGTTGCACGACCAATTTTACATCATTGAAGCACCCAAATATTTTTTCGTTGTTGCTGAACTGCCTCGGAAAGATGTCCCCGAAAATAGAAGTATTGAAATGAGTAAACGCAACTTATTAATATGACGTTACATAGTAATACATGCGTGTACGGAAGGGCTACTTGAAAAAGCAAATAAGTTCCTAGTGACTTCAGAGGGACAGCCGAACGTTGGCAGTCGCTCTAAGTCTTACACGAGCGTCGTTCTCAAGTTATTCCCCAAGTTTCGACCACATCTCTGTTTTGTTTAAAGGAACCATATAAGGATTTTTATACATTCACTATATACTACTTAGAACAACCCCCTGACGTTAATAACTGAATAAACTTGCGTTAGCTCTTTTTTCTAGGCAGTGGTAGTCGACAAAAAAAAATGAGAGAAATATGAGCATGGTTCATCGGATGAACCATGCTCATCATCCCCCCAACTCGGAGCCAGAAGCGGCCACGTGGCCTGGTGCTTATCCTATGCCGCCAACGTTAATCATACCCTGGGCGCTGGAGTTGGAAAAGAAGAAAACGCGTGCCGAGCTCCAGAAATTGTTATAGTTCGGCTATTCTCATCACCACAGTGGTTAGACACAAGACACTACCCAAGTGTTTGCCGAGGCATTGATTGTTACGAGCCCATCATACGGTGCTCACGCAGTTCTCGTGTCCAATTCATGAGCCGCGCTCGACTGTCGTCAGGCGGCTGGTTTTGATCCCACAATTACTTGATCAATCTTTGCAAAGGCAAGACTAAAAGAAATAGTCTCACTTTAGCTGCGCAATTTCACCGCAACAAAGAAGCTTCTGAACCAATGGCGGTTTGTGCGAGCATACTTCGTCCAGACTTGGACCAGTACGCCTCTGAAAAGTCATGAACATTCCAACCCGATATCGTTTTAGGACCCCTTTAAACTTCATGGGGTGCAAAATAAAAGCAATGGAGGGTTGCTGTCAACAAGTGACAAATATAATTGTCGAATTAAAACACCTAAACGGAGGAGGCAATTCCTCAGGAATAGAAAAAATTCTCTAGAGGAGAAAAAAAAAAAGAAGTGTGCGTGTGTGTGTGTGTGTGTGTGTGTGTGGGAGGGGGGGGAGGAGAAAGTTTTAAAAACATACCCTGTTGTAAAGGTTCCTTTTCCCCGCTTCTTCGGCGCAGACCAAAAAGCATGGCCCCGGAATCTACTTTGTTTGCAAAAACACTCTTGCCAAAAAAACAACCACATCTCCACGTGGTGAATGATGTTGATTGGGGCGAAGCTCTGGTGGTGCTTGTCTGCGTAGACGCTGAGCCGCAGCATGCCCAGCCTTTCGTTCGTTTTCATCCATGTCACGCTGCGGTCAAATGCTCAAATGGGTATATAACCACGTTCCATACCACAGATTCACTTTCTGACATGGACGAAAACGAACGAAAGGCTCGGCATGCTGCGGCTCACCGTCTACGCAGACAAGCACCACCAGAGCTTCGCCCCAATCAACATCATTCACCACGTGGAGATGCGCTTCTTGTTGTTTTTGTTTTTTTTGCCCTACACGAGCACGGGAGCACGTGCTCACGTGCTCGTGAGCACGTGAGCTAACAAGCAGGAGCACGTGCACCCGACGGCGGACGGACATACGGACATGGCTAGCCCCGGAGCTTCGCCCCTAAAAGCGCGTTTTTGTTGTGCCAGACGCTCGCGCCGTTCCTCACGACGATGCACTAAGAATAATACTACGTGCCTTTACTTGGCTTTCACTGAGTGCGAACTTCCTGGAGCGTGCATTTCGCACAATTGAATTTGATTTTCTCAGCAAAAAGAAATCACAAGGACAACCACCATCAGTGTGATGACGTCAAATGCAGACCATGTTAGCAGTTAAGCTTTCTGGCAAATACTTGGCTTTCACTGAGCGCGAACTTCCTGGAGCGTGCATTTCGCACAATTGAATTTGATTTCCTCAGCAAAAAGAAATCACAACGACAACCACCATCGGTGTGATGACGTCACGTGCAGACCATGTTTATCAGTTAAGCTTTCTGGTGAAATGTGATGTTCGCAACACTGGCAACAGATGTCCTAATTGTAAAGTGCAGTATTTATAGCAGTCTCGCGATGATATGCGGCAGCCTAGAGAAATGTTAGACCGCATGAATATTCAAGCAGCATGTTGTAAAGTGAAAGCCCAAAACAAGTGCAGGTAAAACCTAGTATAACAGTAGCCTCCCGAGGCAGTACTTCGAGAAGTTTCGAGTTCATGCAAGTTGAAGAAATGTGATTTATATTAAGATTTTAAGAATCTTTCTCTGTCCTTCGCGCTATTTATGTATAATTATGAATTTCATTACATGCATCTTTATGCATCTCTTCTTGCAGTAAGGCGTGCTGTAAGGAATTATTTAGAAAAATACCATTAATTTTATCTTTCTTTTTGAACATATCGTGTATTTGCCTTCCGATCTATCATGTCAGCACAAAGTTATTTTTGTAATACCCTGCAACCCGATGTTTCACGCTGCCAATCAGCAAACAAAAACACGTTTACGCAGACTCAACAGTTCGCGTAGTTTCGAGTTGTTGTTGTTGTTTGCGGGTTTTATGGCGCAAGAGCAACGATGGCCATACTCCGCCAAACTAGGTAAATTAAATTCAACTAGAAACGGTGTACCAAAAATATTTCAACTATAGTTTGTGTAAAATTGCTATATGTTCTAGAAAAGCTAAGAGACGGTCAATTGATATTAGAGGTTGCTCCCCTAGGAAAAGGGTAGGATGGAAAGGAATACTGTACTTGAAAAGCTCAGGAAAGAAGAACTTGTGTTGTTGTAGAAGACCAGGGCAAAGAAATATATGTAGAACGGACAAAGTGTCTCCACAGTGGTCGCACTCCGGTGGTTTCTCCCCAACAAGTAGGTATCGATGGGTGAGGAAGGTGTGCCCGATCCTCAACCGGCACAGAAGAACCTCACGGAAACGGCTCCGGTTAGAGGAGCTTTCCCAGGTACCGATGCTTGGCTTGATGATATGAAGTTTGTTGTTATCAGCCAAATCCCACTCAGACTGCCACAGTTTTAGAAGTGCAAGCCGTATGGACCTGGTTAGGTCTTGGTATGGAATGCATGCGTGTGATGGTAAGAGGTTACGCGAGGAGGCGGCCAGTCTATCTGCAGCCTCGTTTCCTGCAATGCCCACATGGCTCGGGATCCAACAAAACCTAATATCCTTCCCATCTCCGAGGCCCAGTTGAACTTTAGCACGTACCAGTTGAGTTAGCTTGTTGTTGGTTGGATTAAGTGAACATGCTGCAGTAACAACGCTCCGGGAGTCTACAAAAAGAACTGCTTTCATCATTTTGCTCCGGATAATATAGTCAAGTGCTGAGAGCACGCCATATAGCTCGGCAGTAAAAATGCTAGCAACATTATTTAGCCGTGTCACATGTGTAAACGAATTTGAATCAACAGATGAGCCTACATAAGTTGAGGACTTGGCTTCATCAGTGTAATATTGATGATAAGTCTTGTACTTTTCTTGCAGTGCAAGAAATTCTTGTTGAAAAGCAAGTGGCGAGACATTATGTTTATTAAATTTTGTGAAGTACCAATCACAAGCTATAGGCTTGATATCCCATGGGGCAGTGTGACCTGCACTTTCTATGAGGTAGACATTTTCACGAGGCAGGCCAAGGGATAGACGCAGGTTCTCAAAACGAAGACTCAAGGGTCGAACAACAGTTGGCTTATGGTCAAAGGTGCGACAAAATCTGCACTCTCGGATATAAGTATGAGCTGGATGACTAGAATCCGACGAAACTTTGTAAACATAGACTAGACTAAGGAGTTGCCGCCTTTTCTCGAGTGGCATTTCATTAGAGTCAACATACAAGCTTGGGATAGGGGATGTTCGAAAAGCACCCCTTGCTAGACGCAACCCAAGATGGTGCACTGGATCAAGCATCTTCAATGCAGACGGTCGAGCAGATGTATACACAACAGCACCATAATCAAGACGTGATCTTACGAGAGAGGAATAGAGACGAAGAAGACACTTTTTATCGGAGCCCCAAGACTTGTGAGAGAGAACTTTTAGGATATTCATAGCCTGCATACACTTTTGCTTCAGCCACATGAGGTGAGATACAAAGCTAAGTTTACGGTCGAAAATCAGTCCCAGGAACTTATGCTCTGGTCTTACTGCAATGCTATTTCCATTTAAACTGAGAATCGGATCTAACCAAAGCCCACGCCGCAGAGAAAAGGGGACACAGATTGTTTTTTTTTCTGAAGAGAACTTAAAACCAATTTCGTTTGCCCATTTAGTCATTTTATTTACGGTTAGCTGCAACCGTCTTTCGCTGCTAGACATAATACAAGATGCCACAGAAATTTGAATATCATCCACATATAGGGAGTACTACACGGAACAAGGTATGACCTGACAGAGAGAATTAATTTTTACAGCAAAA